AAAAAGATACAGTATTGTGAGGTTACGAGTCTTGTGGTAAAGTGGTCAGTAAAGCCAATCTCCAACCCAGAATCCCGTCGAGAGTGACTTGATATTCGTGACAATACGAATGTGATTCTGAATTGAGTTATTTAGGCGAAAGGATAAAACCTGGAGAATCGCTGCTAAACCTGCGATTGAACCCATGCATGGGTAGGCGGTGAGGTTGTTGCTGATGTAGAACAGCTGAAAAGCATTACTTACGCCAGTATCCACAGATGGTCTGAAGACGTCCATTTCCTCGGATATAACTCCAGGTAGTCCGTTCAAAGCCAACCGACATTTCGCAGGAACAAGTCGCCTCCATCTTCAGGGTCGAAGAATAAACCAAGCAAGGAATCAGCGTGAAAGTAGCTGACAAGCAGAGCAATCGGCGTCCAGAAATTTCGGATGGTATAATTAGAATGATCAAGTCAAAGAGGATGAGATGGGCAGGAAATGTAGCATGAATTTGACAAAAGAGGAACGCTTATAGGATTTTGGTGGGAACGGCAGAAGGAAAGAGACCACTAGGAAAACCAAGACGTAGGTGAGTGAATAATATTAAAATGGATTTTAGAGAGATAGGAGGGTGTGGTATGGACTGGATTGATGTGGCCAAGGATAGGGACCAGTGGAAGGCTCTTGTGAATTGGGTACTGAACCTTCGGGTTCCATAAAATGTGGGGAAGTTCTTGAGTAGCTGCACAATTGTCACAGTGGCCACGCTGTATAAAGGCGCGTCGACATTACTCGTGCTCGTCGGGAGACTCTTCTGGCTTTTACTTGTCCTCGGAAATCTTCGTCCACACTACTTCAGCTGCTCGCCAGACTTCGGCGCGTGAGGATCCATATATCTACTCGTAGTGTGTATAAGCTGTAGTCGTATTTTAATTTATTGGCTATAGTTTTTAAATTAAATTTTAAAATTTGCTTGTCTCGTGACTTGATATATCGTCCACATTACTCGCGAGCATAGTGATTCACACGAGCACGAGTAATGTGGACGCGCCTTAAGGCATGAAGTGCCTTCGCTCGCTCGAACACTGGGATCGTGGGTTCTAATCTCACTCAAGGCATGGATGTCTGGCTGTGTTTGTGTTATGTAGCGGCCTTGCAACTGCCTGATCCCCGTCCAAGGATTGTCTGAGATTAAGAAACTGAAGTGAAACGAAGCGTTACACGGATGCTCTATGCTCCTAAGTGGGAGCAACAGAAGAAGTGTTATGGAGGTGACTAGTTGAACATCACAATCAGTCCGTTATTTTGTTGTTGAACTGAAATTAGTAGGAGACATATACGGATAGAGGGTGGACACATGCGCTCATAATATTCTTGGACATTGTAACTGCTCATTTAAGTTGGAGGCCCTAATTGTTAGAAAATAAACTTAAAAAATCCGTGGCTTTTAGTCCGCAAGCGAGCTATACCGACCGAGCGACCGCTGCCTGTCGCCGAAGTTAGTGCCAACTTTTGCGGATAGAGGGTGTCGCGTGATCAGCGCAACGAATCCCTACGGCCGTTAATCTCAGTTTTCAAGGCCGGAGCCGCTACTTTTCCATTCAGGTAGCTCCTCAGTTATCCTCACGAGATTGAGTGTACCCCTCCAGACCCACTACTTCTCAGAAAATGTGGTAGCGCGGGGAATAGAACCCGGGACATCTGGATATGTAGCCAGGAACTTTAACCACTAGACCACAGATGCGGAGAAATTGTTAGAGACTGTTGTATTTAAACCGTATGTTATAGGACATCCGGTCTAGAAAACCGAGATTAACGGTCGTGGGGATCCGTTGCGCTGACCACGCGACACCCTCTGTCCGCTAAAGTTGGCACTAACTTCGCCGACAAGCGGCGTTCGGTCGGTCGGTATAGTTCTCTGGCGGACTACAGGCCACTGAGTTTGTTCTTTTGTTATAAGAGAAGGGGAGATAGCCCCATTCTTGCATTTAGAACGTTACTGAAGGCCATTCCTGCTATGTGAACAGGATGTAGCTACTTTTCCTGGAAATTTAGTTAAGCCCGGCACGACGGCACAGCTTTGGAAATTTGATACTTGACATCTCAGTGGAGCGATAGATTATAGGAAGGAAGGCCAGCTACAAACGCTACGACCGTTAGATTATAGGAAGGAAGGCCAGCTACAGACGCTACGACCGTTACATTATATGAAGGAAGGCCAGCTACAAACGCTACGACCGTTAGATTATAGGAAGGAAGGCCAGCTACAGACGCTACGACCGTTACATTATATGAAGGAAGGCCAGCTACAAACGCTACGACCGTTAGATTATAGGAAGGAAGGCCAGCTACAGACGCTACGACCGTTAATTTCATCGAGCTGTCCAGGGAACTGTTGGTGTCTTAAGAGCCAAAATCGTATAGCAGCTTTCGTTGATTGGAAGATGCATTTTTTTATACCAAAGTTTTAAACTAGACCAATAAGGCAGGTTTAGGGGAGGCTCCGTAGAGGGAAGCTGAGAGCTCTGAAGAGTTCACTGAAATAGAGCAAGGAGGTTCCCCAAGGGACAATGATTCCGACTTCCAAAACATTCGGACAAAACCTGCGATCCTCAGAAATGCGAAATTAACGAGCGCCTATACTAAATCATTACAAGATCATGGTGCAAATTTCGACCATAAATTCAACTTAAACTGCCACGAAATGTGTAATGTTATTATAGTGGAACTACAGTTGATGGCATATCAATGCAATCCACCGCCAATGCTGTTTAATAAATCACAGTTCAGTGCCAATCGTTCGCGGTAACATAGTTGGTTGAGGTACAAGCCAGAAGGTCGCGGGTTCGATTCCCGATGAACTCATTGCATCTTTTAATTTACCTAATCCTTCCAGCCGTACTATGACTCTGGGGTTGACTCAGCCTCTAACAGAAATAAGTACCAAGAATCTTCCTGGGAGGCAAAGGATGGCCGGCGTAAGGCTGACAACCTCATCGTCATCTGTGAGCCGATTGTCTAGATTCTAGACTCTAGAAGATGTGGAATCCGAAAATTCTCACAAACCTATGGGCCCTCACGGCCTGTTACAGGGTTAGCTTTACCAGTGCCGGTCATTGTCGTCATTGTGTGCAAGGGTGTGTTTGCTGCAGTGTTTCTACTGCCCTGCTAGAGCAAGGCCCGTTAAGACCCAGGGACAGATCTCTTGTTCCTCCAGACCCAACCCTGAGCTAGCAATCTTGCTACCAGAAGGCAACCCTGCAGAGGTGTAGTCATCACACCCTTGTAACTTCTGGTGCCCAAACAAGTCCTTCAGCCTTCCCTGCTAATCAGTTCAACATCTACGAAGGGCAAAGTCAGTTCTGTAACCAGTGAAATAGGGAGACGCAGAGAAGGGGCAACAAGTGGCTTCCTGCGCGGCGCCCTCCATTCTGACAGAGACGGCAGGGATAAAGCCGTCGCGTGCCTAAGTTTCAGTACGTATCGGGAAACAAGCGTCCACATGTTTCGGAGTAGAGCTCTCGGTAAGGTTTTACTGCACTTCTCTGTATGGACGTCTTCCAGATCTTAAACCTAATTCACATTCTGTGACAGAATACTAACTCCATGTAGCTGAGTACATCTTAAGAAGTCACTACCTGCTCAGCTACTCAAGAATTTCCCAACATTTTATGGAGCCCGAAGGTTCATTACTGGGTTCACAAGAACCCTCCACTGTTCTCTATCCTAAGCCAGATCGACCCATTCCATACCACACCATCCTGTCTCCCTAAGATCCATCTTAATATTGTACAACCACCTACGTCTTGGTCTTCCTAGTGGTCTCTTTTCTTCTGGTCTTCCCACCAATATCCCGCATGCATTCCTCTTCGCCTGCATTCGTGCTACATGCCCTGCCCATCTCATCCTCATTGACTTCATCATTCTATTTATATTTGGCGAAGAGTACAAGTTATGAAGCTCCTCGTTGTGCAGTTTTCTCCAACCTCCCATCACATCTTCTCTTTTATGCCGAAATATTCTTCTCAACACCCTGTTCTCAAAAACCCCCACTCCGTGTTTCTCACTTATTATCAGAGACGAAGATTCACAACCATACAGAACCACAGGCAAAATTACGTAATATTATTAACACTTATAAGAGATAAACAGTACGTTGAATCAAACGACCATTCTGTCGTTCGTGACCGAATGCGTACTTTTATGTAAATGACAGAAATTAATTAAAGTAAAGCTATTCCTGTAACAGGCCGTGAAGGCCCATAGGGTTGTGAGACGTTGAGGGTCCCACATTATCTAGACAGTCGACTCAGAGATGGCGGTAAGGTCATCCTTACGCGCCGGCCGCGCTTTACTCGCCAAGAAAATTATTTAATTAATCAACAATAATGTAATTTCGAGCTTTCGTAAGTACTTTCGCAAAATGCTTACTTTTTTCGACACTAGAGCGACGTCAGCTTCCGAATCAGCTGTCGCACGCCGCGGTGAGTGCTTCTTTTCAGGCGCAGTTTCAACTGGGATAAATGCTTATAGATTTCTACGAGTGTACCTACTCTGGTGGGTCCGTTTAAGGGACCCAACAGAGCAGATGTGTCTCACTGCTTCACCTGAACACTGAAACAGGTTCAGTTTCCCAAACATGTTACATACGTAGAATACGAGACGATGTATGAAGTCCTAATACCCCTGTAAGCCCGCGTCTTAATCCTGACAGTTTACTCATTCAGCATTGGCAGGCAGATTTAACTTCTTGCCAATTTGAATTAGTATCAGCTAGGTTACATGCGTATCTTATTTGCTTGTCATAAGTAAAGAATTCATCGAAATTTTAATTATTCAGTTTACCAAAATTAAGATATCCCCGGAATTACAGAATGTCATTTCTTTTTCCCACATTAGGTACATTTTCTTCTCTTTATCAGTTGTTGGAAGAATAAAGGTGTTAGAATATAATTTATAAATCCTTCTGCGAAGCCGTTCCTCATGACTGTATACTGTATGCATATTCTTGTTTGTTTCAGATCCTGCTAGCCGAGCGAGTGACAACCAGGATGAACGATAAGCCTTATGGAAGAAAGGCTGCATTGTGTGAGTGACGTACAGATGTGCGCGTGTGGATTCGCCGTGAGTTTACGTAAGGGTTCCATATTTTATGCTCGTAGATCAGGTGAATTGTGCTGCGGATCTATAGATCAGCGCCGTCTTCCGCTGTGAACGGAATGAATGAGTTTCAAGTGACCGCTGTTTCGCCTCACTTCTGAAACATGTCGCCGTGTTTGCGACATTTCAGCAGGCACTTCTGTAATAATAAAACACGATGTGGTTTCAGTTATAAGTTGCAGTTAATCCTTCCTGATGTGTTGTTAAAGCTATGGGTCAATTAGTTACTGTGTAGTGATACTCATTGTTAAGGAATTTAAGTCTTCATACCTTGTACTATTGCACTATTACTCGGATACAAGAGTCGGAACCATTCGATGAGATGATTGGGAACCGTTACTAGTTAACTTGAAAATTTGGAAATATTTAAAACAAGATCGTTTGTTATAAGAAAAGAATGTGTCACCATGACCTGAACAAATAACTTCATTAGGGAAGTAATCGGAGTTTGTAGTGGCAAATTCGCGATGTCTATGTCCTACCGAATGGCGTTAGCTGCGGAATGAACCACCAAATTAAAAGGTACAACTACTGCAGGAAAGAACAGAACATTACAATCATAACAGGTATTGTGTGCATTCGTGGGTGACACATTTAACTATCTGGCCGCAAGTGGACGCGCGGCGCACAATAATATTAAATGGTTGGAATGTTGCGGCCAGATGTAGGCTAGCATGAAATCATTTCCACATCGTTTAGCAGCGGCTGGACTTCCAGGACAATGAATATGTTTCGGTGAGTCTTTATATGCATTCATAACTGTTCTAATTAGGTACTGTGGTAAGTGGTGTGTGCTGAAATGCGTGTACCTCAGCAGAGATCCTCTCGCAGTAACACTGCAACAGCAGCTGCTTCCGGTGCTAAAAGATTGTCATCCGTATCAGCTTCCAGCGCTCCAGTGTCACCAGGCAAGAAACGGAAACTGCAGTCTGAGTCACCCTCAAAAACGAAAATTGTCCCTAAAACTGCGGCTGTTGCTGATGCCGTAACATCCAATCAAGATTCAAAAAGAAGACAAGCACTGCCAAATATCAGAAAACAGTTGCATCAGCCGAAGAAGGCTGAAGAAACTCGTGTCACAAAAACATCAAAACCTGATCTCGCTGCAAAGAAATCGCACACGAAAAGCTGTAGCAATGTGCCGTTGGTGGGATTAAAGAAAATAAAAGTCAAAGACGGGAGGGTCACTGTCAAGGAAGTGTTGCTGACGGCAGCAGTAACTAAATCGGAGAAAAAGCTGGCAAAATCTGTGCCGTCAAAGAAACAAGTAAACACGAACATCAACAGCAAGAAAGCGGCTCTTGCAAGCGAATGTTTGTCGGAACCGCCGACCGCTGCAGATCAAGCTCTTAGTGGCGGCAACTGTGAGAAACATCCAGCCGAGGCGGAAAGGCAGCAGCACTCCCTTTCCCAGAAGAAGGCACAATGTAGAAGCACTTCTTCCTCGAAACCGAACACCAAAAAAGGAAAGATTGTTATGAAGAAATGTAAGAGCGCTGCTGTAATTTCGGTTCCTGTTCCTCTTACGCGGACCAAAAAGCTTAAGCAACGACAAAAACTGAAATCAGTTAAGAAAATCTGTCTGAAAAAGTATCCGATCACAAGGCAAGTAATAGTTACACAAATGAAACAGCAAGCAGTAAAGGAGGGAAAGAAACAGATCCCAACTAGAAGGAAACAGGTTACTGACGAAAACAATACAGCAGGTCATGTGACCATTAAGGTAAGCCAATCACCAGCACGCGACAACCAGCTGAGTGGTGGGGCAGATGATTTGGGGCCGAGCAATTGCTTAACATCCGTAACTTTTCAGGCGTCAGAAAAGAGTTCTAAGAAGGCCAGAGATGAGGAAAGTGCAGTCAAAAAGGGCGATAAGAAGAAGGTTGTGAAAAGAAAACCAAAGATGGAAAGTGTAGGGAAAGGAAGTGAAGCAGCGACCGAGAATAAGCCAACTGAAGTGACATCTGAACCTACCAAAGACAAAACCCAAGTGTCGGTCCGAAAGAAGGAAGTCAAGATTTCCAGTGAAGAGGATATTACATCTAAAGTAAAATGCGTGAAGAAGAATTACAAGCCAAAACCTTCTGAAACATTACCTTCAAAACGAAAACTCCCCAAAAAATTAGCAGTTTTAAAACCAGCGAAAGTTTTGCCTGCGAAACTATATAAAATTACACTACCTAAAGTTCCGTCGAACCCTAAAGTTTCTAAGAAACTAAAACACCAGAAGAAGAAGGTGTCCAAAACCGCCATGAGAAATGTATCGACGGACCAGTTTTCAGCAGACACTGTCGTGGAGGCCAGACAAGAAGAGGAGCGGAAACTGCAAAAGGACGGCGACGACTCATCCACGTCGGACGAAATTACGTTAGATTTATTACTCCGTCGCCAGCAACAAATGAAACAGGAGTGCATTGCGAGTGATGAGCCTTCCATTGGGCAGCGGAGTCAGTCTGAAGGAATAGTAAGTGGTCCATCTTCCCCTATCGAGACCGATAACCTTAGTGCTGCCCAAATTATTGAAATCAAACCTTCATTGTCATTGATAACGTCTGTTAAACAGGAAGAACAGATGCCAGACCCCGCCGTTGCTACTTCATCTCCCTCAACAGGCAACACTTCGGACGATGAAGATTTGAAAAGTATAAAAAATCGCATCAAGATTAAGCTAGAAGACAATGCGGAGAGTGACAGAGAGGAAGAAAGGAATGCAAAGAGAAAGTTGGCGGCAGGAAAGGTAAAGAGTGACGACAGTTCTACAACCAGAGGGAAAGGTGGAGAAGTGAATGTAAAGAAAGAACCAAAGGAAGATACAGTAAAATCAGAAAGCAAGAAAAGCGAATCGGACATTAAAGTTACAGATGATAATGATGGGAAGGGAGGAAGGGTTAAGAAATTTCTGGGCGTTAAGCGCTCGAGAGCCGACGGCGGCAAGAGTGGTAGCAGCGGGAGCGACACGGACCGGCGGGCGCGTCGGATGAAGCTTTTCGGTTTCTGGAGCGGCCCCAAACGTCATCGCGTAGCGTCATTGAACGCGCTGGCCAAGGTCCATTGCCTGTACGAGAACGAGACTCGGGGTGCTTTGATTGGCATCTACGGTACCAATGGAGAGAATAGCCAGCGAGCCCCTAAACCATCGCCGTCACCAGAAAACGGCACTGTTACCACTACCAGAACTCTACGTTCAGCACCGGGACTGCGAGGTGTGGGCAAACACTGGGACATGCACAACGCGTCTTCCACATCCTCGTCTGCACCATCGTCTGATGAGAACGAAAGTAACAGTGATTCATATGTGTCGTCTCCTTGCGCACCAACCGCTTCTTACAAAGCGAAAGTGCCAACGGCAGGCTGTAGCATCAAGAAAAAATCGAAACAGGTTAAGAATATGAAGAAGGTTGTTAAACGACGAAGAAACAGATGTGAACTTATGATGGATCTTAAGGATATGGTTGTTCGGAAAAGAATGGCAAGTTTAAACGCATCGGCCATCCTAGCTGCTAGTTACTCCGTGGAGAAACGCGCTGTGAAGAGTGTTAAGGATGACAGCGGGGTGACGGTAGGCACCAACAACGTTCAGGTGAAGAAGAAGTCAAAGAAGCGGCTCGTGACGAAGAAGGTGATAGAGGTTCAGGATGACAGCAGTAGCATCAGCAGCGACATTGAGATTGAAGAATGCGATGTGGAGGGAAGAGGCAGTAGTCGGAGTGTCATTGAGGTGCGGACTACGCCCAGCGGTGGTCAGAAGAGCAACAAGAAAGTAGCTGTTATTGTTAACCAGGACACTGACGTTACCATCACTGGTGTTTACGTCAACAGCACCACGAGGTCAACTCACCACGAAGGGTTCTGCAGCATTGCAGGGATGCAGTACCGTATCTCTTCCACCAGCCACACCCAAACTGAGGCCACTGCTGTGGCCACCGAGACTGTGCTTCACACTTCTACCGCTGCAGAGCACGTGAGTTGACAGATGAAATCCGTGCATGCATGTATTCTTCACTAGAATTGGCGGCTCAGTAGACTTCTTCGTGTAGCAGGTACGAGGGAGAGTCAGCAAACAGGTCACAAATGCAAGTAAGACAGCTGCAATGGATGTAATGGGGTTTCTATCTATATCACTAGGTAGCAGCACAGTCCAGCTTCATGACAGTCTAGGTAGCAGACGTGCATATACATGTTCAGAGGCTGGTTTCAGTAGTCAAAGTGGTGACTGTGCTTGAGGAGTGTTCTACCGAAGAACAGCATCCTGTTGTAATTTTTTTTTAGCAAAAGGACATAATGCAAAGGATATTCATAAATGTTTCTTGTTTACGATGGGAAGTATTTGTCACGTAAATCGGTTCATAACTGGGTCCAGAAGCATGGCAAACGTTCCGCTGATGACGAAAAAGTTGAAACGGAAATGCGGAAGTGACTGAGACAACAGTCAAAAGACTTCTATTTTGCGGGTTTCGACGCACTGGTAAAGCAACGAGACAAGTGTATCAGTGTTGGTGGAGGATATGTTCACATATCACATGTTTTACGTTTTATATCCATTTGTGACCTATTTACTGACTCTCCCTTGTACATTTAACAGAATTCGCATTCACTGAAAGCCAGCGTTCCAGAGTTTTTGTCATCACTGTGTGCAACATGTTTGCTCTCACTTGTTTTGCTTCCTACCAAGCCACTGTACAAGTGGTTGGTGCACTTCTTGACCGCCAGTTCTAGTGAACAACGTGGCTTCACACAACTAAGCATACAGCAGTATCTGCCTCAGCATGGATTCTGATTCCCAGTTGTGGTACGTGTCCTCTGCAAAGCATCGTAAGAGTTCAGAGATCTGTTTTCAGGGACATAACGCCATGTAGTCCGTTGAAAGTGAAGTGACGTTTCGCAGAATCATGTCGGCTCCATCTTTACCGTCGCTGAATAAGCCACGCAAGAAACTATCTGGAAGCGTGAAGAGTTATGCATGATACCTACTTCATGCTAGTTTCTTGGTTAACTTATTCTTAGAACGTGAAGATGGAGGCGACAATTTTGTTCGAAACATGGTTGACATTCAACGGACTACACTCGTCATGTCCCAGAAGACAGACAAAAATCTTCACTCTGAGTCTCTTTTCTTCACTTAATGTCGGAAAAGAAATTTCACACCCATACAAAACTACAGGCAGAATTATAGTTCTGTATATTTTAATCAGATTTGCTGAGTTTCTTAACGTTCACAATCCGACATTCAGAAGAACACAAAGTACCGGAAATGGGATGCGTTTCCGGCCTCAGAGGAAGGGGTGTACCTGTATATTTCAGTTTCTATGTTTTTAGGAGTCATGACCGCTCAGTTGGTATAGCGACCGGCTACGGGCTGGACGGCCACGGTTCAATCCCCGGCAAGGGCAAGATTTTTCTCTCCTACATACCATCCAGACCGACTCCGGGGCCCACTCAGTCTCATATCCAATGGGTGCCCCATCTAGTGCCGAGGTCAAGAATGGTGGAGCTATACTTCCACTACCCCATATGTCTTCATGCCATAACAATTAATTAGGCACAGGGACAAATTTACCGAACATTTTTAGGTAGCCTGTTCCTAATGTAACGGTAGCAAGCACTGCCTCAATCTTGTCTGCTCATAAATAACATTTTCGTCTGTTTCTGTCTTTCCCAAATATTTGAACTCTGACACATTCTCAGGTTGTTCATGTTCAACTTCGAAGGGGTTTCTCTGTATTTACTTCTAGGCCCGTTTTCTTACTGGTGTAAAATAGAGCTTGTGTGTTTTTTCTGCATGCTATTTGTGTTATCTCCAAACCCATTTACAGCATCAGCATGAGGTGGCCCTTTCACTTTCAGTTCCACCTGGGTTTTCTGGACCTTCGTAATAAGCAAACTTGAAAAGTAATTGCTATCCTGAGCCAGATCAATCCAGTCCATACCACCCCATTCTGTCTCTTCTACAATCCATTTCGTACGTTCCTCCCATCTACATCTAGATCTTCAGAGTGGTCTCTTTCCTTCTGGCGTTCCCACCAAAATTCTATAGCTTATCTCCAATTCGTGCTATATTCCCTGCCTGTCGCACCGTCCTTGGCTTTATCATTCTAGTAATACTTATCGAAAAGTACATGTTATGAAGCTCATCATTATGTAATTTCCTCCAATCTCATGCCACGTCATACCTCTTCGGTACAAATATTTTCCTCAGAACCCTGTCCTCAAACACCGTCAGCCTATGCTCCTCCCTTAATGTCAGAGACCAATTTTCACACCCATACAAAACCACGGGCAAAATTATAGTTTTGTATATTCTAATTTTTATATTTTTAGAGAGCAGACGATAAGACAAAAGGTTTTGGACTGAATGGTAACAAGCATTGCCCGAATTCAGTTTCCTCCTAATTTCCTCATGAATCGAATTTTAGCTTGTTACTGTCGTTCACAAGTATCTGAACTGTGCAATACTTTCAAAGCATCTGTTAGCTGTCCTTACGTCATGATTTTGTCCTGCATTCTGGTAACGAGAGAGCAACATATACTCATTTCTTGTGCGTTTAGTTCTAGACAAACGTCATTCCTGGCTTTAATTAAAGTTTTTGTGTTTTTCTTTATGGTATTTATGTTATTATCCTGTAGATTCACATCAACAGCATAGACCAGCAGCTGATGTGTCCCATTTAATAATAGTCTCACCTGGTTTTCCTGGACCTCCCTAATGCAGTATTTGAAATCGAAGTTCAGATGCAGTGACTGTAAAACATCTTTTTGTTTTAAATCAGTTTGAATAGAAAACATATCAGACAAATGTTTACCTATAAGATTTCACTATATTTTTCACTTAAACATATTTTAATAAGCCTGACTAGTTTCATGGGTATCCCAAATTCCGTAAGAGTATTGTAGAATACTTCCCTCCTAACTTAGTCATAGGCTTTCTTGAGGTCTACGAATAGCTAGTGCGCTGTCTCATTGTACTCCCATTTTTTCTCCAATATCTGACGAGTGCTGAAGATGTGATCTGTATTTGATCTGTTACGTAGAAACCCACACTGATGATCCCCAATAATTTAATCTATATATGAACCTAACCTTGAGAGAAGAATATTGGATAAAATTTTGTATGAAGTTGATAGCAGCGATATCCCCCGATAATTACTACAGTCAGTTTTACCACCCTTCTTGTGAACTGGTACAGTAATAGACTCTTTCACTGATCATGCAATTTTTCTTTATTCCGGATAGAATTAATTAGCTTATGGACCTTAGGACGTAATATTTCACCTCCTCNTTTTTTTCCTTGTCACTATAGCCCCAGTGGGCCTAGGCCTACCTCCATGAACTTCTCCGTTCACTTCGGTTTTTCTAGATCTTACACATTCGGTAGGACTCCTTGGGCGGGTGATCAGTTCGTAGCAAGGCCTCTACCTGTACACAAACACAGAAAAACGCACACACAAACTAAACATCCATGCCCTGAGTGGGATTCGAACCCACGATCCCGGTTTCCAAGCGAGCGAAGACAGTACATGCCTTAGACCGCTCGGCTGCTGTGACCGGCATTTCACCTCCTGCTTGAATAAATTCTGCGGGAATTTGATCACTGCCTGGCGATTTTTACCTTTTCAGTTTTGCAAGAGCACTTTCAACATCAAAATGGCTAGGATCATGTACTAACGGCTCAGCTGTATGTACTTCTATCTGCCTGACATCTCTGACTCTATGTACATTCAATAGCTGAGAGAAGTAATTCTTCCACTTGTTCAAAATATTGTGTGATCCTGCAAGCATATCACCGTTCTCATCATTTACAACCTAGTTCTAGGTTGGAAACATTTTGAAATAAATTTTTAGCTTATGAAAGTCTGTGCTGTGTGGTGCAAGATCATTAATTTCATCTTTTAGCTGTACCCTTTTTGTGCACGTAATTTACCTCGTAGCTTCACGTCTTACGAGTGCGTTGTTCAGATTATCCCCATTCATTGGACTGTGATCCTATAATCTGTGGAATTTGGTTTGTGTATTTTGTCGAGCCATGACTTACGCTCCTTCAGTGTATAATAAAGCTGTACTCCCTTTTACTGAAGTTTTGATAGGTTCCCAAGCTCTGTTAACATCCGCATTTTCATCTAAGTCTATCAAACCGGAAAACTTATTTGAGAGTTCAACCCAACACTGTTCATGACCCTCCAGTTTCTTATTTTCTTGACATCGAAGTCTCCATATCAATTTTTGTGTAGTTCGTTTATATCCTGCCAGTCTTTCCCTAACTTTTGCAACCACCAGATATTCGGCTCCCATAAAATTCTGACGTCAGTTACACTTGAATGCCGTCTCGTGTCTGTCAAAAGTGTGGTAAATCTGATTGGGTGTCTTTCCATCGGGAGATATCTATGTAAATTTATGAATGTTACGACGTTGGGACATTGTACTTTGATAATTAGATTTTTGGATGTGGCAAAGTTCACTACTCTAACTCCATTATCATTGCCAATTTCGTGTTAACTCTCGTTCGCAGTTTTTGGTGTGAAAACGCGTTGTCTACCTGCTTTGGAATTGAAATCAACTAACAATTTTTTTGTATGGTACTTAGGGGAATAAACAGAATCCATGTTCTAGTTCCTTATAGAAGCTGGCCTTCTTATCACTAGTTTCATGTGTTCATGAATATTAATAACAACGCTGTTACTCCAGACAACATGGGAATACGCTGAGAAAACTTCTGCGTTTCATTTCAGTGCATGGTTTAGGGCCGAATGAAAGTCGTTAATACGTACCTCGACTTTTCCAGCCGTTCTCTATTTCCAGTCTTCCACCGAAATCGTTAAAAATATTCAATGTAAGATTGTTGATTAAGCCGGTAGTGCCTCCCCCCCCCCTCACTTCTCGTCTCTTGATGGAACTGTATTCCTTTTGAAGAGAGTCGTCTTCTGGGTTTAGGCACCGTGTATTCTTCGTTTTGGCCGACGTTTCGGAGGAACGTAGCGCCTCCATCTTCAGAGCAGTTGAATGGCTTGCGGAGAGCAGTAGCTGNACAGCTACTGCTCTCCGCATTCCAAGCCATTCAACTGCTCTGAAGATGGAGGCGCTACGTTCCTCTGAAACGTCGGCCGAAACGAAGAATACACGGTGCCTAAACCCAGAAGACGACTCTCTTCATTGTCATCGCCGTGAAAACCTCAAATCTTACATGTATTCCTTTTGTTTAAGAATTTTAGTTATTTTCGGCCAGTTGTACCCAAACCATGAATTGAAGCGTGAATTAGGAAACCGTGTAATTAATTAGAAAGCAAATATGGCAGGGAATCAGAGATAATCTATTATTTAAGCACTGAGTCGGAATCTCAACTCACTTACTCCATTAAGCAGAACTTTTCAGGAGCTGAAATTCTCGTAGCTGCTTCTTGCAGTGGGTTCTGAATATACATTACCGTATTATTAATATTAAATTGCATCATCCTGTTTCACTGAGTAGATTGACTTTGCCTTCCACTTTTTGCCGTCTGTGCGCCGCGTCAGTTAGTAGTCAGTCATCGTGTTCTCTTTGTTCTATATCGCCATATATACTGTGACATGACACCCGAAAGCCAGATGGGTGAAGTCAGAGGAGAAGTCCATTGCTAGACAACTGCTCGGTAAACACGTTTCCGCGACACCGTCCGACAATGGAACTACTGTTGAGAGACGGTGTTTTCTGTGGATCCGCCCTGAGTCTATATAACGAGAATCTCAAGTAGCTGGTGTATAACCGGACCACCCTGTTTCTGGGGGATATAAATACGGGGATCTAGCCCTTAAGGTTGGGGGAGTCTCGAATCTGAGACAGTAAAATATGATCATGAATCCCGCGGGACTCGGATCTGAGAACTGACTGCGCTATTGAGGCCCAGCAGCAATTGTAAACGGCAGGCCCATCCTGTCGTCAGAGAGGATGTTACATGAGGACTATGACCGCAAGCGTTCAGTTAAGAACTCCTAGTCGTGAGTGTGAAGGGGCTTGTTGCCAAGACGAACTGATTGGCGTTAAAGCCCCAGTCGTAAATTCTGACTTTGACTCTGACTGGAATTAGAACTGGAGAATTTCCGGAGTGAGCAGTTGGCAGAATAATTGTGAAGAAATAACAAGAAAGGAATTAGGCTGTGCAAAGACAATTTCATAGTGTATTGCAGTGAAAGTGAGGCAGTTATATATCCGTTGCGAGGATGCGACTAATGAAGACAGAGAAGATGTAGCGTGTCCTAGTGATTTGTAAAGTGTGTAGATCAGCGATAGCGTTGTTTTACTTGTAATTACAAGTTAAGTGTATAAGGTGTCAGTAAATGCAATCATGCAATCCGAAACCCGCCTGTAAGTCACGCACACCCCTTACACGTGACAGTGCAATAAAGATAAGGCACATAGACGGCAGGAAGTGAAACGCAAAGTCAGATGTACGCATTAGCTCATTTACATGAACTTACACCTGGAGACATTATCCTGAGCCAGTTGATTCCGCTTCACACTTTCACCCCATTTTCTTTGAAAACCATTTCAACCTCGGCACTAGATAGAGCTAAGTGGTCAGCTTCACGTCCCTACCGCTTTACTCCCGGGGAGATAGGGGAGAAAAATGCGTCATATCTGCCGGAAATCGAATACCGTTTTCTCTGTCGTCCAGCCCTGTCCAAGTCATTATACTGAGCTATCCCGGTTCCGAATTAGCGTGTATAATCTTTATAAACTTCGAAGAATGACGTCTTCTGGGATGTGGCGCCGTGTAGATCTTGTGAACCGACATTTCGGAAGAATGTATCACTTCCATCTTCAGGGTAGAAAAATCCACGAGCGAGGAACCAGCGTGAGCAGGCGGCTGCAGACTGCAGTATTACACACGCACATGTATGCTCACTAATAGGGCAGTTTCACTTCAGATGGTCCAAGTACATTTTAATATTATTACGAAATTAACATTTATTGCAGTCGCCCTTACTCGTTCCTGTGTTTCGTTGTCACAGTTGGAACCTCGTTGTGGAGTTAGGTAACCTTTCTCATGTTCGTGTAGTTTATGCAGGTCCTGGGCTGTAGGAAGCCAGTCCCATGTAAACATACGCATTCGTTTGTTCTGGCAAAATTATAATGCAACAGTTGACGGTTTACTGTGACGTGACGTGTAAACGGAGTCATCCAAGAATAAATTTTCGTAGTCATCGCCATGAGCTCGTCAAATCACATATAACGCTGTTATTGCTGTACGCAGTTGCCCTGCCTTTCGATACATTTGGTCATGTGGCCCAACATTTTTTAGTGCTGCTAACATATATTTTTTTATAATATAAAATTTCCCTTAATTTTTCACTTTCTTTCGTTTTCTTTCCCTTATGTTGCAGTGTGTTACAAGGTTTATGTATGGACATTAGGGTAGCATGTTTAGAAATATGATCATATATCATATAAACGTTTGTGATGATGGCATATTAGTACAATTATTGTGTTTCGGGACATTATCCTTCGTCCTGCTTTTATTTAAAACACGCAACGTTTCGGAGACTTCATTCTGTCTCCGTCTTTAGGTGCAACCTACTCATTTGGACGCAGTCGATAGAGCTAGTCCCTGTCTCCGAGACGGAGACACAATCCAGCCTCCGAAACGTGTTTTAAGTAAAAACAGGACGATGGTTAATGTCCAGCAACAATAATTGTAATAATCATGTATCGTGCTGAACATGTACTGTATTGCGCCATTGTCTGTACTCAGCCCCCGTCACAGCACCACCCAGCAGAACCACCATTAGCACCACCGATGAAATCATACACTCCACTCGGAGCGCTGTCGAACATGCAACCCCCTGGTTCGGCAGTAGTGGGAGGTCCGCCACCTGCACATCACCACCACCACGCGCACGGACATCCACACGCACACCCACCGCCGTGTAATGTGCCGCCCCAGCAGCAGCCCCCTCACCGAGGGGGACCCGTAAATCCTGGGGGTGTGTCAGTGCATCCACCAATTTCACCTCTTGGCCGTCGACATGGATGCAGTAGCGCCTTCTCCGCGCCGCCTCCACCGTCCGCCGCTGCTTACGGACCGCCGCCCCAGCACCCGCAGCCACCCCCTCACCATCATTCGCATCCACCGCCCCAAGGCCAGCAAGATCCCGCGTACATTCACGGTAAGTACACCCCTCGATATAGGGTTGTAACAACCCACTTGCAAGAATATACAAGGAGGATTAAGGGCAGTGAAGTCGTATTGTGAAAACTTTCTGTCAAATCTTAATTTTGCGTAGACTGACAGTTTTAAATCTTTTTTAGTCTTACGCAACCTTATACACCGATCCTGACACAAAGAGAACAAGCCTCCATGGTCGCCCACTAATAATTAATTGATCTGGGAAATTAACCCCTATGAGAAAATAAACAGTCAGGTGTTTTAAGTTGGCTGTTTAACGAAGCTGTCGGTATCGAGACTGTACGGCGCCGGTGGATGGATGATTAACAAATGTGTGGCAGTTTGTGGAATGAGAATTGGCAGGGGTAACCGAAGGCCGCGCTTCGTACTTATTCTAAATATGCAGAAATTTCCGATAAGATGGGTTCTAATGCCTACACACTTTTGTTTTCTTTGTGTTTTGTTACAAGTGGGTCGTTGCTTCCTGTGATGTGAAACTTAAATCGTTGTTAAACAGATCCTCCGTGTTAGCCACGGGGATGCGTGAAGATAGGCTGGAAGACAAGACTGCCCAGTTTCCTTGTACGCCACTAAATTATGACTGTGTTCCATAATTACGCATAAAAGTATATAACTTTATTAACATTACAAATATTATGTTTCTGGACATTATCCAGCTTCCTGGCTTTATCTAAAAACACCATTCTGTTTATATTACAAAGTAACGTTTCGGAAACTGGGTTCTGTCTCCGTCTTCAGGTAAAACCTACTCAATTGGGCCCTATCTCCGGAGAGAGGGACTAGCTCTATCGATTGGCCCAAGTTGAGTAGGCTTTACCTGAAGACAGAGACAGAATCCAGTCTCCGAAACGTGTTTTGAAAAATAAACAGGACGATGTTTTAGACAAAGACAAGACGATGGATAATGACCATTAACATAATACTTGTACAAATGCTCCGTCGTCACAGACTTTCACATCCTGCTCTATCAACAGAGCTTTAGGACCAGCTTTGACGACGGTGCCGAGCGCAGTGGTCGCGCTGTGTAGGGCGTGAACTGTCTTTTACCTCACGAACACTGGGGTCGTGGGTTCGAATCCCACTCAGGACACGGGTCCCTTCACTTTTATTCCGTGTTTGTGCTGTTATGTGTGTAGGTAGCGGCTCCAAGGAGTCCTACCGGCTTTGTATAGAATTACGAAACTGAAAAGTAGCTGCCTGGGCCCAACAAAGGACTGCAGAGAGACTGATGAATGAATGTGACACAGTGGCGATTACATGAATGAAGCATGTCACCAAAGCCGGTAGGTTAACCTTATTTCTCCTGCAGTTTAAGTGTTACCTTCTAATCCCTGTTACAATTGTGGCTTACAGACCCGTTGCTAGAAAAGAGTTCAAAGCAAACGAGTACAGCTGTTGCTATGCAATAGACGAATAAACAAACGGCCGTTTCTGAGCAACGACTCTGTAGATACGTTCCCGCGTAAAGGAACGCGCACGCAACAATAAGAGAACGATGTTTTCTATAACCCACCCAACAGACATTGGCCAACCATGAACCTACCAACACACACAGTAGCAAGTGCCCCCAAGTACTACATAACACCAGTACAACAAATGCAACCACCCAACATGAATTACATAAACAACGAAGACAGAGGTCAACACATACAGAAAATGACCTCATCCAGCGAAGAAGAGGAAGAAGAAACGCAAAAAACTAACAATAACAAATGGCAAACACTCCGAAGCACAAAGAAAAAAACACAAATCAAGAAAAGATCACCACAAATAACATAGAAACCAACAACCGATACGACCCACTATCTCAACAAGCAGGAACCCCAAGCAATGAAATCATCATAACACCAAAAATCCCTAAACCGCCGCCAATATTCGTTCATGGGGTACAAAATTACTCCGAAATGATAAAACGAATCCAAAAAATAGCCGAACAAGAGCAATACTTCACCAAAAGTCTAGCAAACAGCATTGTCAAAATAAACTGCGAAACTCCAGAAACCTACAAACAAAATGATCGGAGAATTCAACGAACAAAAGATGTATCGCCACACTTACCAACTGAAAGAGGAACGAGCATATAGAATAGTAATAAGATACCGTCATCACTCAACAAAAATAGAAGACATAAAACAAGAACTAGCTGAACTAGGACAAAGAGTCAGAAATATAGTCAACGTACATCATAAAGCTACTAAAGAGCCACTGAACCTATTCTTTGTAGACCTAGAAACAGCCCCAAACAACAAAAAGATCTATGAAATAACAGGACTCCAAAATAGAATGGTAAAAACAGAACCTCCCCATTCAAACAAAACAAATATAATCCAATGTACGAGATGTCAACAGTACGGCCATACGTATGCGTTAATGTGGCGGCCCAAACTACACGACAGACTGCAAGAAGAGAAGGGAAACACCGGTCAGATGCGCACTATGCGGGGGAAACCTCCCCGCAAACTACAGAGGATGTGAACACTTTCGTAAGCTAACCAAAGGTACCAGCAGAAGCTTTTCCCAAAGACCCTCCACTCCAGCAGTCTACACAAATGGATCCTACACGAGAAATATATAACCTCTAGAAATAACCCAACCCAGAAGCTACGCAGAAATCACAAAGCGAAATTTAACCCAAACAGAAGAATCAACTAACATACTAGCAAAATTCCTAGACTAATTAAAAAATTTAATTCAACAATTATTACAACAAAATACTATGGTACTAAACATGCTAACAACACTCGTCAACAAAACAAAATAAATGGCCAAATTCCTAAGAATAGCCCAGTGGAACGCCAGTGGACTTCCAAATCATCAAGAAGATATAAAAATATTTCTAACATAAACTCAATCGACATCCTGCTAATCAGCGAAACCCACTTCAATATCCCCAAATACAAGCTTTACCACACAAACCACCTCGAGGACACAGCCCACGGAGGCACTGCAATCCTAATCAAAGAAAAAATCAAACATTATGAACTACCAAAATACGGAAAACATCACATACAAGCCACATCCATCAAAGTCAAAACATTTCCTTATGCTCTCACCATTACCGCGGTCTCCTGTCCTCCCCGCTACAATCTCAAGAGAGACCACTTCGAGTCATTCTTCTAAACCCTGGGTACAAGATTTATAGCTGGAGGAGACTACAACAGCAAGCACAAATCTTGGGGCTCAAGACTCATAACAACAAAAGGCAGAGAACTACACAAGACAGTCCAAAATAACAATTACTCCATCATATCAACTGGAACACCAACATACTGGCCCACCGATGGAAATAAAATTCCTGACTTACTAGACTTCTTCATAGCAAACGGCATCTCTCCTAACTACACAAACGCAACTGCAAATCTTGGCCTAAGATCGGACCACACTCCGATCATTGCAGCAATAAGCACACCAGTTATGCTAAGGAAATCCAAGCCCAGACTTCACAACTCCAAAGCAAACTGGGATCTCTTCAGGAAAATAATAGAAGAGAGCACAAAACTTAAAATTAAGCTGAAAGAACCAACCAACATAGAAAACGAATGCAAAAATTTCATCACCCTACTACAAGAAGCCGCCAAAACAGCAACCCCCGTAAATGATCCAAAGAGCCCTACAAATAACATACCGTGAAGAATAAAAATTAATAGCGGAAAGGGAAGGGCCAGATCAACCTGGCAGAGGCCTCACACTCTGGAAAACAGAGCAAAATGCAACAGAATCAGCAATAAGCTAAAAGCGCAATTGCAAGAACTAAAGAACGAATCATTCGAGAACTACATCGCAAGCCTCACAAGACAAGACAGTTCCATCTGAAACCAATAAGGAACAAAAGAAAGCCCATATTAGCATCACCACCAATACACAAATTCACATCACTCTCAGGAAACCGGGCAAGAAGCGACAAAGAAAAAGCAGACCTATTTGCACATCATCTACATGAAGTATTCACTCCACACAACAACAATCAAGTACGAGAAGTAAACTCACTTGTGAATGAACTCATACAAAGACATCAACAAACAAAGCCCTTTATCCTAAAGGAAATGCAAGAAGCAATAAACACTCTAAAGCCAAAAAAGGCACCGCGCCATGATAACATCACAGCCGTAATACTAAAACAGTTACCAAGGAAAGGCCAAATAAAACTTCTATACATAGTCAACGCCATACTTAGACTGGACTGTTGGCCTCGTCCGCTCAAAAGCACCCAAATCATAACGATCTTGAAACCAGGCAAAAATCCAACTGACGTCACATCCTACCGACCAATATGCCTCCTACCCACAATTGCAAAAGTCCTCGAAAATCTAATACTCAACAAAATAAACCAAGAATCAAACCCACAAACATGGATACCAAACCTTCAGTTTGGCTTTCGACGAGCTCACTCAACCGTCCAACAAAGCCATCGCATAGCAAATACCATAACAAACGCGCTAAATAACAAACAGTACTGCACAGCAGCATGTCTAGATATAGCCCAGGCTTTTGACAAAGTCTGGCATCCTGGCTTACTTTACAAAATAAAAAGAACCTTCCCGACATATTACAGTCTACTCAAGTCATATTTAAGTGAAAGATTTTTCGATGTCAAAATAAATGAGGAAATATCCAACCGCCTACCAATCCGCTCTGGGGTGCCCCAAGCAAGCTTACTAAGCCCACTGTTATACACTCTCTACACACATGATCTACCCACAACAAAAGGAACGACAATAGGAACTTTTGCAGATGACACTGCTATCTTCGCTACCCATGGCAATCCAACCACAGCCTCCTCTCATCGACAAGATCATCTAATCCTCATAGAAGCATGGCTAAGCAAATGGAAACTCAAGGTAAACGGATCAAAGTCCACACAAACAACTTTCACCCTCCGAAAAGGCACTCGCCCCACAGTGCAAATAAATCACATCAACATATAACCAAAAGAACAGGTCAAATACCTAGGATTAACCTTTGACAAGAAACTAAACTGGA